CCTTGAGTCATCTTTAATCACCATTTCAGACACCATTAAGCATAATAAAAGCAGCTTCGCCATTTCCGAGGTATTACCTAGAATCCTACTCGAAATAATAAACCTTGCCATCACCCATCAGCCTAGAGTTACTTCCACTCGTACTATTACTACCGCAACTACTGCCACTACTACGACTGACATAGCTCCTGAAGAACGAAACGTTGCCACAAAATTTCGTAATAGTTACACACGCGTCCTCTTACCTAATGTACTGTCGGCATTTCTACCTTTATTACCCATAATTCAACTGTTCAAGGCTCCGTAAACAACCGGCCATTTGACTGCTTTTACAACTTTGCCATGTTGCCTGTGGTTAAGAACACATGCTGTTTCATTAGACTGGAAAACCCTGGTGCTCAGTTGATTCACTACGTCAATAAATACCCAGGTCATGCACATGTGTCATATCCATCAAATGGTTGGTATTGTAAGCTATTAATTTCACAACTTATGAGTATGAAATAAATTTAACTAAGGTGTTTAATTAATTAGTCTTATACATTGTTACGTAAAAACTCGCATAAGACAGTGAAATTTGTTTCAAGTTCTGTGTACTGAAATATCAAATATAATTCATGCATAACTCGCCGGGGTAAACAGTCCTAGTTAGTGTATGAAATGTAATTTTGTTTCCAGTGTACCTCTGGCTGGATATAAGTACATTGCAAAGAATTCAAATTAAATAAGGTAGTGAAACTTATATATTCATAATTAGTTTTGTTTCATAAAGTATCAGATAGATATTATACACAATTAGCCGACATAAGTAATTCTAATTAGTGTACTTTATTTTAGTTAAGTTAGGTGTAATGTATAATAAATATACTCGGGTGGATACGGGTATTAGCACATATTTCTCCTGTGGTCCGTTTCTAGATCGAGATTCTTGACACAACTAGCATCTCAGAAGATGGATGGTGTCATGGCAAGAAGACTCAAGAAAATAGAGGTACCTTTATAGGGATGTATTACGGTTACGCTCTTATATAGTGAAGTTTCTTAACAAAAATCTAAGAAATCAAGGAAGTGCTCATACATAGTAGGAAGAAGAGCAGTGCATCAGATAAAGGCGGAGGAATGGCTGGTGCATTAAGGTTATCCCTGTATATTGAAATAAGGATCTAGTTGTGCAAGTGTGTTGGTCTGATGTTCATTCTTATTTTTGAGTATTATACAGACGAGGGGCAAGACTATATATGAAGCCTCTCTGCTCAGGGGAAGAGTGTGTGTAGTCTTAGAGCTGGTTTAAAACACTTCTGCTCTTGTTTTCTTCAACTATTTGAAGTTCAGTAAGTTCCCATCAAGTCTTATTAAGGGATATTAAAACCAGTGCATTATATCGTAAACATGAAGTCTCTCTGGTTCATGAGATGAGAATGGAGGGAGAGCAGAGATTTAACATTAGTTTCAAGAGTAGATCGTGTCGTTATCTTTCAGGAACGTTAGGAGATAAATAATATATATTCTTTAGTAATCTGTGAAGTACAGTATATATATATATATATATATATTATTATATATATAATATATATATATATATAGATATAATCTCTATGAACAGTAGTCTAGGAACCGTGACAGTGAGACTCGTAAAGGAACATTGCTTCATAGGAGTCCACGGTTAGGTACACGCGGGTAAATCGGTTCCCAACTTGGAGATGACGATGCAGTACCTTCATACACCCACAGAAGTTAGACAAGTTACAGTATCTAGTTCCAGTTTATTGTTTAGGAGCACTTCTTACGCTTAAACTGTTAGGTCCTTACTCTGCTGTAGCTTGGGTCTGCAGGGACTACAAATACCATTCGCCATGTATATCACTCTTTTGCTCATCCCTTGTATCTTGCATCCACTAATTCTGTACATGAAAACAAATACAGCTCAGGCCCTGTGAAACATCATATTAATAAAAGAGTATATAATCTTCACAATTATTTTTCAAGAACAGTTAAAATAGTGTTTTTTTGTAGTTGTAGAGTAGTACGCGTGGGGGCAGCACTTGCCCTAAGAATGTTCTGTAATGCGGTTAATAGTCTGAATACATATATATAACTCGCTTTGAAAAATATGAACGTAGATAAACATTTACAGTGAGACTTGCAGTATAGCTAGACTGATGCTTGGTCACAAGTCTCTTCGTAGTTTGGCATATACACAGACGATGATCAGATGGAATGCAAAGTACGTGGTCAGCGTTATGGTAACTTAATTGAACTCTTTGTGCGTGAATGTTCACTAATTGAAACATATACACAAAGACAATAATACAAGAATGGTATACAATTCCGACAAGATGAAAATTAAGACACGTGCAACATCTGGGTATCTTTATTGTAGACGTTTTGCCATCGAGTGGTTTTATCAATACAAATTCTAAGACATAATTTGAAGACAGAAGAACTATATACAGAAGACGAGGTAATCAGTCCCTCAGCCTTGACGTTGGTGTGAAGAGCACCGTAGTCGTGAGGAATCTGTTGTGCAGGCAAGAAGGCTGGTGCTTATATACTAATGTCAGGTGGAAAGGGCCGGGTAGCAGACGAGGGCATAGTCACTGGTAGGCTGGATTCCCCAGTGGAAGTAGATCATACCCAAAGGGATGGGTTAGTTGTAGTAGCCGTGAAAAAGATTATGTAGATGTCCTCTGAACCATTAATCTTCACGACTACTGTGCTCTTCACACCGACAAATAGAGAAATAAGAACCTAACAAATCCCCAGGCCCTGATGAACTGTTTTAAAGGAATGTAAAGAGGAACTAATCTTTTCAATATATCACTACAAACTGGCATAGTTCCAGACAAGTGGAAAATTGCAAATGTAATACCTATTTACAAGGCAGGTGACAGGTCCTTAGCTTCGAACTATAGACCATTAAGCCTTACCACCATAGTTGGTAATTTATGGAATCGATAATTGCTGAAGCAATTCGCAGCCATCTTGGAAAGCATAAATTGAAGTCAGTGTTGGGCCCCTTGTTGTTCACAATTTACATAAACGACATAGACGAGGGAATAATAGCGTCATAAACAAATTTTCTGATGACACCAAAATAGGCCGTCCAATTCATTCTAATGAGGACATTAGAGCACTCCAGGATGATGCAGTGGTCGGAGAAGTAGCAAATGCAATTTAATATAGACAGATGCAAAGTTCTAAATGTTGGACAGAAAAATAAACATGCGACATATAAATTAAATAATGTAGATCTTAATATTAAGGATTGAAAAGAATTTTGGAGTTCTGGTTAGCAGTATGAAACCAAGACAACAGTGCATAAGTGTTCGCAATAAAGCTAACAGACTCCTTGGCTTCGTACCAAGTAGCATAAATAATAGAAGTCATCAGGTTGTTCAACTCTATATAAATTTGGTTAGGCCTCATTTAGATTATGCTGCACAGTTTTGGTCACCGTATTATAGAATGGATATAAATGCACTGTAAAACGTACAAAGGAGGATGACAAAGTTGATCCCATGTATCAGAAATCATCCCTATGAGGATAGACTGAGGGCCCTGAATCTGCACTCTCTAGAAAGGCGTAGAATTAAGGGGGATATGATTGAGGTGCATAAATGGAAAACAGGATTTAATAAAGGTGATGTAAATTGCGTGCTAAAAATATCTAGCATAGCCAAGACTCGCAGCATGGTTTTAAATTGGAAAAATTCAGGTTCAGGAAGGATATAGGAATGCACTGGCTTGTGGATGAGTGGATAAATACTTAAGTGGGTGTGGGTGGGTGTGAGTTGGACCTGACTAGCTTGTGCTACTAGGTCTGATGCCGTTCTCCTCCCTTAAGTGAATGTTACTGACTTAACTAGGTTATGGCATTGGCTTTAGCCGTTGGGAGATTTAGACCTGCCCCGCATGGGCCAGTAGGCCTGCTGCCGTGTTCCTTCTTTCTTATGTTCTTAACTCCAAGGCTGAGGGACTGATTACCTAATCTTTTGTATATAGTTCTACTGTCTTCAAGTTATGTCCTGGAATTTGTATTGATAAAGCCACTGGATGGCGAAACGTCTGCAATAAAGATGCCCAGATGTTGCACATGTGTCTTAATTTTCACAAAGACAGTAAAATAGCCTATATGAAATGTAAAGGTATCATTTTAGCGACAATAAATTTTTGGTCATTTTAAGCAAATGCCCTAAATTTGCTTGTAACAGATGAAGTATAAAATGGAACTTATTTCTTGGGTCTTCTGTGTATTCCTTTACTCTTATGCTGACGTCCACAGGACAGATATGAAGTGCGTTATTAACTAGCAGATACGGAGACAAAATCTTAAAATTGAATCTTCTGAACTCAGGCTCTGTTCCTTAGTTACCTTCTTTAACCACATTGTCCTCCTCCTCTTTTCCTTCTTTCCTCTTCTATCACTTGTGTTTCGTCTCCTCCGTTTAACAGAGTTATATTGATGAAACTAAGACACACATGCAACATATGTGTATTAGTTTCATCTTGTCGGTATTGTATACCATTCTTGTACAAAGTTATTTTGGATGCCCTGAGCTCAGTGGTCTTATCTTCCTCCTTCACCTCTCTTCCTCATCATCTTCCTTCATCTCCTCCTCCTCCTCCTCCTCTTTCTACTATTCATCCTCATTCCTCTCTTCATAAACCCTCTTTAGTCTCCGACTCTTGACCCCACACCTGTGCTGCAACAGGTGTGTAGGCTGCTCCGTCACTTCTACCTCTTAGTCCTCTTCCCCCCTCCCTCCATACCATCATTCCCACCTCCTCCACCTCTTAATCCTACTCCACAGTTACTACTTCCCCCTCTTCCTTCCCTCTCCTCCTCCTCCTCTTCTTTCTACCCCGTTCTTCTACCATTATTTCCGCCTCCACATCCCACTCCCCCTTCTTTTCCTTTTCCTCATCTTTCTCCTCTACCACCACTACTACCCCTTCTTCCTCTTCCTCCTCCTCACTAAGGTTTACCCACTGGTCCGTAGGTGAGTGGTCTGCCTATCAGGAACGAGGATCAACATGCGGGTGAGGTGGCCTCCATGTCCTTACATCTGTTGGACGCAATCAGACGCTTCCAGATCCGTCACCGACCCGACGACACGCTCAAGTTGCGTATTGGCCTCCACTCAGGTAAGTACCTTCACTCAGGTGAGTACCTCCACTCAGAGGAGTATATTCAGGAATCTTCACATAGGTGAATATCTTCCCGTAAATGTGAATCTTTAATCTTCACACGGGTGAGTGCATATCTAGGCGAGTGTGTACTCAGGTCAGTGCATGCTTAGGTGAGTGAGTACTCTGGTGTCTAGTGAGGTGAGTGTATACAGGCAAGTGAATATCTGGGTATCTATTCTTATTCGAGTACATAGACTCATCCGAGTCTATATACTCGGATGAGTCTATGTACGCAAACGAGTACTGACGCGGGATAGTATGCGTTAGATGGTGGAGAGAAAAATTAATAATTGTGAAATAACTTTTGATTAATTTCATGTAGATTATTTTGTGTGTACTCAGGTTATTCTATGTGGAGTTATGGTTGTGTACAGATAGTGTGGAACACATTTATACCGGATTTAAGTAGATCGTTTAGCGTGTAGTTTGGTTATTCATTATTTAGTTATGTTATTGTGTGCTTTGGTGAGGTCAGTGGGTAGTCAGGTTAGTTAGCGTGTAGTTACGTAAGGCTGTATGCAGTCAGGTTGCCTCTATATTCCTAAAACTGATGATACCACAATGCTATACTGAAGTCTCTTCAGGTCAATCTGACAGATTTACACCAGGTTTGTGATCCATCCTGTGTGATGTAATGTGACATGGAATCATTTTCATAAAGTAACTGTTATATAGAATAAGGCAACAATACACAGATGATGTTTCCAATTTGTCTAAATAAAAAAAAGACACCTACAGGTTGTATATTTATGTTATTTAGTGCTGCGTTGTTAGTATCCTCCGTGTACAACACTTCCTAATTAGTGTCCTCATGTAGCGAGTCTACTTCGCGCTTTTAACTTATTTTCTCTTCCATTTTGTTAGAATCATATATATGTTACCGACTGTTCAATAACAGCACTGATAGCCATGCCACTGCCCTATTTATCCGTCACCCAAATGTTGTGTACTATCTTGTCTATTCCTTTCCTAGGTCCAGTGTGTGCGGGAGTGGTGGGGCTGAAGATGCCTCGGTACTGCCTCTTCGGCGACACAGTCAACACGGCCTCCCGTATGGAGTCTACAGGACAAGGTGAGTAACCCCCTTCCCCCAACCCACACACACATATACACACACGACCATACACTATAGTGAAACTGTACTTCTAGAGTGGAATAACAGGTTCAGAGCACGAGAAAGCTGATGTAAGAAGTGGGAACCTCAAGGGGATAAGAGAATTCCTGAATGTAGTGCAGTGGCACAAGGATATCCATGGAAAGTCAGCAAATGTGATGGAGTACCCAGCAGGGGGTCAGAGGAGAAATTCATACTAACAGGAAGATATAGAAACAACACAGAGAGAGCCCTAACTCATACAAAAATGCCTAGAGGCAAAAAAAAAAAAAGGAAAAAAAAAAAAGCATAAGAGCGTGAAAAACCGAAGGTTATATGACCCCAATTTAGTTTGAGTATTTTTCTTCTCCTACTACCGCCTATATTCTATGTGAGCTTTATTTGAGAACAAAGTTTATTAACAAAAATGCAATGGGAAGGAGAGCAACATAAATGACATCTCAAAACTGCGGGCATTTCCTCTCTGGATGGGAACACTGAGTCTCTGAGAGAGGAATCTGGCTGCTTTGGGATTCTTGGATTCCGTGATGAGTTTTTCTCCTAACTCTTTCAGGAATTTTAGAGCACACTTGCTCGATGTTCGGAGGGTTTTCAACCCTACTGAGACGGGTTTATAGCATGACGGCAGCCCTCATATACGTATATATGTATGTATATATGTCGTGCCGAATAGGTAAAACTGATTAATTAGAACCCATTTAAAATTAAGTCATTTCTAAAATTTTCTCTTATAAGTTTAAAGATATATATTTTTTGATTGATGTTACTGTAAAAATTAATAATTTTGTAGCAAAAGAACCTTAGAAAACTTGTCTAACTTTATTATAACAAGATCACTTAATTTAGTCTAATCCAGCTAAATATATTTTAGATACGTTTACAATAACTTAATAATAAACAAACACAAGAATTTTTTTTTTCGTTAGGTTCAGAATGATTTTTGCGAAATTATTGCATACACAAATTTTCGCTTGCCTTATTCGGCAAGAAGAGCGTTGCTATTTAAGCCAAACTCGCAAGTTTTACCTCTCCAGCATGACATTGTATTATATATATATATATATATATATATATATATATATATATATATATATATATATATATATATATTGTAAACCATGAACGAGTGGTATTGATAAATAACAATAATGCAACTAGCCAAGGACTCGAACCCATGTTGTTTTGGCCCGCCTCATAGTGAGCGAAAACACATGACGCTCTAACCCACATAACCACGCAATCCTACAAGCACGAAGCACCCAGCCAAGCTAGGTGTGTTACCTTGGCCCGAGGACATACGATGCTTGAGCTAGTACACCAAACGGGGAGCAGAATGAAATTAGCTCAGAGGCACCCACACCACCGTATGTTCTCGAACCAAGGTAACACATCTAGCTTGGATGGGTGCTTAATTCTTGTAGGATTGTGTGGTCCTGTGGGTTAAAGCGTCATGTGTTTTCGCTCACTTTGAGGCGTGCAAAAACAACATGGGTTCGAGTCATTGGCTAGTCGCAGTGTTGTTATATAAACTCAAGAATTATGTGGATTAAAATGAGGATCAGATGGGAGAAGTGGGTTATAATAAGTGTATATTCACCTGGAGTGTAGAGGAGAGAGAAATTATGCGAGATATAAGAGAGTGTTTGGAAAATTTTGAACCAAGTGAGAGAATAGTTGTGGTGGGGAACATGAATACTTAGTGGGAAAAGCGGTAGGTGAGTTTAATAAATGTATGGAAGAGGGGAAGGTACCTCGGGACTTGCAGAAAGCATGCAATGTTCCTTTGCATAAAGACAAAGGGACAAAAAAAAGTGAGAGAATAGTTGTGGTGGGAAACATGAATGCCTAAGTGGGAGAAACGGTAGGTAAGTTTGGGTACCAAGTGTAAATGATAATGAGGGGCTTTTGACTGAAACTTTATAGAAATTGGTTTAGTGATAAGTAATATATATTTAAGAAAAAAATAAGTATACAAGATATGATATAGGGCGTAATGAGAGTAGTTTGTAGGATTATGTTTTGGTAAATAAAAGACTCATGGGTAGACTTCAGAATGTGCATGTTTATAGAGGGGCATCAGATATATCAGATCATTTTTAAGTTGTAGCTACAGTGAGAATTAAAGGTAGATGGGATACAAGGAGAATGGCGTCAGTAAGGAACAGAGAGGTGAAGGTTATAAACTAAAGGAGGCAGTTAGGGTAAGATATAAACAACCATTGGAAGAAAGATGGGCTAGTGAGAGTATAGGCAATGAAGTTGAAGAGGTATGGGATAGATTTAAGAATGTAGTGTTAGTGTTCAGCAGAAGTGAGAGGTTTTAGAAAAGTGGGAGTGGGAGGGAAGAAGAGCGACTGGTGGAATGACAAGGTAAAGAAAGTAGTGAGATAGGAGAAGTTAACCTATGAGAGTTTTTACAAAGCAGAAGTGATACAAGGAAGGAGGAGAATATGGAGAGAAAAGAGAGGTTAAGAATTTGGTGAAGGAATGTAAAAGGAGAACAAATAAGAGTGAGATGCTATCAAAAATTTTTGCTGAGAATAAGAGAAAGTTTTGAAGCGAGATAAGTTAAGAAAGCCCAGATAACGAATGGATATCACAGTTAAAAATAGGAGAGGAGAGTTATTAGATAAAGAGTTGGAAGTATCCGAAAAATGGAAGAATATTTTGAGGAACTGTTAAATGTTGATTAAGATAGGGAAAACTGTGATTTTATGCATTGAGCAAGAAGGTGTAGCATCCAGTAAGACTGAGGAAAAGTCAGTTGTGAGTGTGGGAGAAGTGAGGCTGTTGGTAGAATGAAACGAGTAAATCAGCTGGGAGTGATGAGATAAAAACAGAAATGTTAAAAACAAGTGAGGATGTAGTTTTGGAATAGTTGATACTTTTATTTAATAAATGTATTGAAGAGGGGAAGGTACCTCGGGACTTGCAGAAAGCATGCAATGTTCCTTTGCATTTATTTATTTTTATTTATTTCCAATTTGTATACACATACAGAGGTACAAAGGTACAAAGGGAGAAAAAAGAGTTAAAATTATAGGGGAATAAGCCTGTTGAGTATACCTGGTAAAGTGTATGGTAGAGTTTTATTGAAAGAGTTAAGAGTAAGACGGAAAACAGAATCGCAGATAAACAAGGGGGGCTTTAGGAAGGGAAAGGGATGTGTAGACCAAGTGTTTACGGTGAATCATATAGGTGAACAGGATTTAGATGAGAGTAAAGTGGTTTCTATTGCATCTATGAATTTGGAAAAGGCAAATGATAGGGTGGATAAGGAAGCAATGTGGTGGATGTTACAAATGTATGGAACAGGAGGTAGGTTACTGAAAGCACTTAAGAGATTTTACGAGGATAGTGATGCTTAGAGTATGTAGGAGAGAGGGAGATTTTTTCCCAGTAAAAGTAGGCTTTAGGGATGTGTGATGTCACCATGGTTGTTCAATATATTTATAGATGGGGTTGTGGGAGAAGTGAATGCTCGGGTGTTGGCAAGAGGTGTGGGATTAAGGGATAAAGAATCTACCACAAAGTGGGAGTTGTCACAGCTGGTTTTTGTTGATGACACTGTGCTTTTGGGATATTCAGAAAAGAAGTTGCAGAGGTTGGTGGATGAGTTTGGAAGGGTATGCAAAAGAAGGAAATTAAAAGTGAATATTGGAAAGAGTAAGGTGATAAAAAAAATTAGTTAATGAAAGACTGGATATCAGATTGAATTGAGGGAGTATGGAGGAAGTGCATGTATTCAGATATTAGGGAGTGGAAGTGTCAGCAGATGGGTCTATGAAAGATGAGGTGAGTCATAAAATTGATGGGGTGAAAAAGGGGAGTGGTGCACTGAGGAGCCTGTGGAGACAAAGATCATTATCCATGGAAGCAAAGAGGGCAATGTATGAAAGTATAGTGGTACCAACAGTCTTATATGGGTGTGAAGCATGGGTGGTGAATGTTGCAGCGAGGAGAAGGCTGGAGGCAGTGGAGATGTCACGTCTGAGGGTAATGTGCTGTTTGAATATAATGTAGAGATCCGTAGCTTGGAGATTAGAAGGCGGTAAAGGGTTTTAAAAGTATTATCCAGCAGGCATAGGAGGGGTTGTTGAGGTGGTTCTGACATTTAGAATGACATGGAGGGTATATAAATCTGTAGTGGAAGGACGGCATGGTAGGGTTCATGCTAGGCAACGTTGGAGGCAGGAAAGGTACAGGAGGTTTTGTGTGCGAGGGGCTTAGACTTCCAGCATGCGTGAATGAACGTGAATTATAGTAGCGAGTGGAGATGAATAGTTTTTATGACTTGACGTGCTGTTGGAGTGTGAGCAAAACAACATTTATGAAGGGATTCAGGAAAACCGGCAGGTTGACTTGAGTTCTGGTGGTGGGAAATAGATTGCCTGCGCTCTGAAGGTGGGGTGTTGGTGTTTTTAGCTGTAGTGTTTACACGCCTCTGGCAAGACAGTGATGAAGTGAATAAGGATAAAAGTCTTTCTTCTTTTTCGGGCCACCCTGCCTCAGTGGGAAACGGCCGATGTGTTAATAAAAAGTATAGCTATCCCTGTCCACAGCAGGATTCGAACCTGCGCATTCTGCATCAAGGTACACAGTCCTTTTGCCACACAGCTAGATTGACGAAAGTACTGTGCACCTTGATGAATTTTTATCAGTAATGTTGTTATAATGCATTGTGCTCTGTATATTACTCCGGTGTTCTTCTTGACTTCCACAGCACTGAGGATCCACTGCTCGTGCAGCTGTCGGGACATACTGGCTAAGGTGGGAGGATACGTGCTGGAGGAGCGAGGTCAGGTTAAGGTCAAGGGAAAGGGAGAGATGACCACCTACTGGCTACTTGGTAAGTACCGTGTTGGTACAGCGGCTGAGGTAGTGAGATGGGCTGGGGTAGTCGTAGGGACTGAGGAAGTGGTAGTAGTAACGGCCAAGGTTGTGCAGTGGCTAAGGTACGGGTAGTGGCTGTGGTAGTAGTAATAATAGTAGCTGAGGCAGTCGTAGTTCTTGAAATTGGAGAGACTGAGGTGGTGGTGGTGGTAGAGGCTAAGGTTGTGTTAGTGGTTGAGTTGGTGGAATGGTTGAGGTAGTAGTAGTGTTTGATGTGGTGGTAATGATCGATTTAGTTTATATAATAACATGTCAAAGTATTAAACAGGTTTCCGAGTTGCATAGCTGGTGTAGAAGTCAAGAGTGAATTGGGTTAGGTTAGGAAGTTTCTAAAATATGCTAATTCTCGAAGAAACAGAGAAAAAAAAAGTTTTCCGAAGTTTGCTCCAAAATTAGCCTAATTACAAATTCCGCTGAAAATGGAGAGTTTTAATTAATGCATTATTACTAAATTCAGACTCCGTTGTAAATTAAATATTACCCGTTAAATGTTTACATGTTAAGCCAAAATTAAAAATCTGTGTGTTATTTCTAGCACAAAATGTTATTTTGAAAGTAAATTTTATTTTTTTCTAGGTAATACCATTATATTAATTGTTTAATTTATTAAGATACTTTTCTGTCCTTTCAATCTATCTAGGAGAAGATCCAGATCGCAAACGTCATCGTGAGCGGTCACGACGGCAGCGTGGGCTACAGGGTGTGATGCTGGCCAAGAATGGGTGCTTGGGCGGTCTACGAGGCTCTCTGAAGGGTGCGCGTGGAAGAACCTCGCCTCTGCCTCGAACCCTTAGCTTGGAATCTCCCAAACGCCTCAGGTTTGCCATGTCCGAGGAACTGACTAGCCGAACTCTGAATGAGGAGGCGCCATTTGACGGATCACCGCCTCCAGCCTCACCTGCCTCCGATGATTGTAGGATGCGCCGTCTCACTCTTGAAGTGAAGCGCAACTCGTGCCCTTGTATCAAGGAACACCGTGAGCAGACAGAGGACTGTCGAGGCCATGCCATCGTTACTTCGCCTCTGGACAATAGCCCACTGCTGTCTCCTCAGGGACTGATTATATCTCCCGTGCCGTCCATCACTGGGTCAGGACACGACATGGTATTAGCGGGAAGCTGTAGAGCATCTGTCATCGAAGTGGGTGTCTCGCGGCCTTCCAGTTTCATGGAAAACTCAGTGGAACCCGCACCACTCTTTTTTGACCTTCCTCCTTCAAACCTCTCTCGAGACGTGGATTTACGAATACGTTCTACCACGTCACTTCAAAAGCAGGATGTGACTCACAAAAACGCTTCCGATTTAGACTTGACGTTAACGGTATCTTCCACTCCGATTAGTACGGGTGGCAGATCGTGTAGTGTGAGTGGCAATGGTTCCGGGTTCGGGGCCAAAGCTCGCTGTTCGCTGTCTAGTGGGGGTAACGGCAGATGGCGATCCCACAGCATGGTCTTGCAGAGTGGCCGACGAGGCAGTGCTGCAGATGGTGACTCCATGGTAACTGGGACGCTGGCAGGAGGAGAAGGTAGTGACGGGAGGGCGGCCCGTTTGCGCTTCTGTAGTAAACAGGATACTTGCTCCTCCATTGAGTGTGAGGAGTCTGCTCCACTCCTGGCTAGTGTTGTCAATTATAGAGTTATAAATGAGGTGCACAAGCTGTCAGAGAGAGAAACACCGGTTTAGCAAATCCTGTATTGTAGTAGCAGATCAAAGTTTATAAGATATTTTTAATTATGAAGAACTGTTAGTGATAACAAGATAAAGTCCCATGGATTATAAATACTTCCTTTTAAATCCAAAGAAATTTAGGAAAAAAATATTACAAAGCGTGATAAATCAGTTGGTCAGTAGCTCAATTAGTCGCCCATATCATGAATTCCTTTACAGACAAAGGAATTCACATTAATGTGTGTGATAATGGAGTAAAATCAGATTACATTTATTTTTTTCTAAAACTTCATGTCTCGCCACTTTAGTTTTCTAACAACGTCCGTGCTGTTTTACAAACGATATTGCTGACTTGTTTTACACAACAGTGTCGCCGCAAAAGATGATCGAGCCAAACATAAGTTCAGACGCTAAGGTGCAGAATGAAAAAAAAAATTTCACCGAGAATGAAAACGTTCTGTTTCCAGAAACAGAATGAAAACATTGTTTTCAGAAACAATGAAAACATTGTTTTCAGAAACAATGAAAACATTGTTTTCATTCTCGGTTACCTCGGTTACCATTGTTTGCATTCTAGGTAACCGAGAATTAAAGCATTCTGTATTCATTCTCGGTTACTAGCCAGGAAGAAGTAGGTCTGCGCCCACGCACATACAAAGAATCAGTAAGTCGGTGTTCCTAAGTTCCTGGAAATAGTGGGTTCCATACTTCAGGACCACCAGGGATCAGCGAGTCGTTACTCTAGGACCACCAGGTATGAGTTAGTCAGTTATTCAGGACCCTCAGGTATCTCTAGGGCGATACTTCAGGACCATCATGGGTCAGTAGGTTAGTATTCCCAGACAACCAGACATCAGCAGATCACCATTTCCGAATAACGAATAACACCGACCAGCATATGGGGGAGAGACGCATATGCGGGTGTTAGAACATTTCTGGATTGAAGAAACCTCTCAATAAATGTCTTGGTACTCTTAATGGAAGTTCTTTGATGCCCATGAGGGGCTCGTGATCCAAGAAATCGGCCTGTCCTTCACTTCCTTGATTGACTCCCATTTTCAGGGCGCTGTATGATCCCTATGGGCTCAACGCTTCCCTTAATAATGATTCAAGCTGCCAGGGATTATTAGATCTGGACTTGAGGACCACTGTAGTGTGCACAAGAAAAATAGCACTCTAAAACAGCCAAAGTAAAAATGGCATCAGCAAAAGACTACACGGAAATGGCACATTTTTTGCATACCAGAGAGTATGTTAATGCTATTTTACTTTTGATGTGTTAAACGTATGTTACTTTCACCGTACATATCCCTGGTAATTCTTAAGTACTGATCTACTGATACCTGATGGCATGTAAACCTTACTATTACTACCAATCATAGGAATGTGCTAAGCCCATAGTGCTCACAGCTCCTGCAAATGGAAGGGAATCAAGATCGAGCACAAGATGGGCCCAATTTCTTGACTCAAGTGTCCCTCACCGACATCAAGAAACAGCCCACGAGAGCATACAAGAAAGACACACTAGCCTGAAGACGATTCTGGGTGCCATCGCTCCCGTGGCCCAGTCCCTGACCAGATCTCCTGGTTAGTGACCTGATCAACCAGGTTGTTGGTATAAGCCACGTGTAGTTCAGCGAAGGCACCACTGCCTAGCTGATCGGGAATTATCTTTAATATTGGTAATTTCCGTTATATATGAAGGGATGCTATTGAACAGTCTTGGTCCCTTGGTGCCTTTTATACTCGTGCATCTCTACTGTTCAGCGGAGGTATCTGGCACCTACTGCTGGACTTCTTGCTATTGATGAAGTTAGTGAAAGACAGTTTTCCAACCTAGAGATAAAAAGTAACTCAAAAACAACCTTCGGTGGCTACGCATCTTTTGTTTTAATGGTTCTCGTTAGCCATCCTGTAAATTTCCTTGTGTTTGGAACAGTAATACTTCCGTGATCCCTGAATATTAAACCATCTTGCACTCTTACTACTAAGTCCCGTCACATTCCTCTTCTATTTATTGAGTAGTTTGAATTTTATGCAACTCTGTTAAAGCTTACAATCAAATTAAATTTTTCCATAGCGGAGTAACTGAAATTTGTCCTCAGTGAGCATCGTATGGTTTTCTGTGACTCGCTAGAAAAACTGGTTAATATCAGTTTGTTGAATTATTTTCTTCAATGGATGTCACTCTCTTACAGATTTTAATATGGTCTGCAAAGGTGATACATTGATATGACTGATGTCTGTCTATGTTGGATATAAAGATGAGAAAATAAATTTGGGAGAGTATTGCGCCTTGAAGAAAAAGTCTTTCATTGTGGCATCTTCTGATTTTACTTAGTAAACTCTTTACGTCCGATTTGCAAGGCAATTAACATTCCATCTGCCTAGTGCGTTCAAGATCATGTCATTATGGTCTAACAACTGCGACGAAAGGAGCAGCGACTTTTAATAAATCCTTTACTCTGGGCTGTACAAGTGACGTCATGCTGTGACAACTCTTTCAAAGATTGATTGTAGTAATGTGTTATCGGTCTGTTCTTATTCACAATTGTTTTGCCGAAATCTTTATATAGTGGGATATGTGATTGTGGGATGACCCATGTGTCCAGATTTCTTCTCCATAAAATATGTAAGGTATATGATAGTGTCTTCATATTTTTTTTATAAATAAAAAGTGCCACGAGTCTATGCCTGGACAGAATGCATAAGCATACTATCAATAACTTACTGAAAGTCGAGTGGGATTAAGGTTATGACAGATATTTTGGAGATGTATGCACAGTTTTGGTCTCATTGGTTGACAATAAATTTGGATTGTCATTCTTTACCCCGATTAACCTCTCTGCGCAGTCATATTATGACTTAGTATTTCACTCACATCTTTGTTGTCATTAGTGTAAGCTCCGTTTCTTTGAAGGAAGGGTCCGAAACTGGATGTTGTTTTTTTTCCTTAGATATCGCATATTATAAGAAAAAAGTATTTGGAATTTCTTTGTTTCATTAGTGGGTTTTTCTCTGTCTCTACTGAACTCTGTGATACATGAGGTTTGCCTCAATGTTTTACGTCGTCATAACCAGTAATTTTTTTTTTTTTTGCTCTGGAGTCGAGTCTGGAGAACTGTCACTCAGCACATCCTCTCGAGACACTGGTTTAAATTCATGTTACTCGTATAATCTTTCGATTAAAATTCCGTAAGTTCGTATCAGATTCTCATAGTAGGTGGATAAAGTTATGGATATTTTCTGGTCTTGCCGAATCCACTATTTGCTGGCTTAAAGCTGCATTTACCCGTACACAGCCGGCCAGTGGTATGTTAATCCCTAAAATAAGAGTTAAATTTTGCGCATGAACAGTTCGGCGAGCACTGGACGTTGCATGTGTGACATAAACAGTGAAGGTGTCACTGCAGGATGCGTACGTCTCTAACTTTCACCTTCCCTGACACTGGGCTACCCCGTCTTCTAATAACATGTTCATTTTTAAAGTTATACTATGAATTATGGAAGGATCCTAGACTTCACCTTACGAAAAAGACAAAGCAAATGCGACAGTAATTATGGATAAGGTAGATTATAGTGGAAAAATGAACATGTTATTAGAAGACGGGGGAACTTACGTGCCCCTTAAGGCAGTGGTGGGGTTTGTTAGTGCCTAGTGATTGAGGTCTTCTCAGGGAGAGGTGCGCCTCTCCCCGCTGGGTGTTTGTCTAAGAACTCAGCATCTCTTTCGGAATAAGCGGTGAGGATATTTTCCTTTTCGTCTAAATTTGTTGAAATTTATGGCCGATGTTTAGGAACGTTTTATGGACATGAACTGTGGAGACATAATTTTGAAAAGTCTTACTCGCGTTATGATTTTGATTTATGTAATATGAGAGTGAACTGGTCAGCAAGTTTCCAGTAATAGTGTCAATTTCTTATGTCAGAAACGGAATATGTATAAAGCGTTTATTAACCACAAGGTATATACGACAGAACTTCCACCATTTATAATGCCATAGTTCAGCTTCTGTTGTGTTAGCGTCAATAACACAACAGAGAAGCACATAAATCCATAAAAATCATAATCTAGGCCTATTAGAAAAGTTTCACTTCCAAGAAGGGTATTGCGTCCCTTAAAGGGATCAGTAGGCACGTCAAGTACGTTAGGACCACCAGGGATCAGTAAGTAAAGGACGTACCTCAAGGCCTCCAGGAATCAGAGGATAGGCACCTAAAACTAGGGATCAGCCAATGCGTAAATCAAGACCACTAGGGATAAGATTGTATTTCAGGGCAATCAGGGATCGAAAGGTAGGCACCCCCGACCAAGCATAAAAAGGTCCTTTAAGGCCAAGTATGGGATCAGTAAGGACTTCACAATCATCAGAGATCAATATGTATTTTAAAATCACCAGGCATCAGTAGGTAGGTACGTCAGGATCACAAGCGATTGATTGGTAGGTACTCCCAGACCAATAGGAATCAGTAGGTATTTCAGGACGATTATGGGTTAGTATGTCGATGCTTCAGGACTAGCTGGAGTCTGCCTGGAGATTGTTCCGAAGGTCAACACCTCAGCCACCCAGTCTTTGGCCAGGCCTCCTGGTGGAACAGGGCTTAATAAACTAGGCTGTTACTGCTGGCCGTGCATAATCCAACGTAAGAACCATAGCCCGGCTGGTCGGGTACTGAAGGCAGTCGGTCTGTTTGTAAGGCGCTTGCAGTGTTGTAGAAATGAGTAAGAGGTCCCAGTAGATTCACTCAGAAGAACGTTCTAGCTAAGATTCTTAGCTAGAACCGACTGTCACAGGATATGTGCCCCAATGGGTTTACTTCTCACAAAGTATATTTGCTGAGAGTTTACTTTAATCATTATTTAAGGGATTAAAATATTCTTGACTGGTGGTGACAAAGTGACGTGCAGCCTTAATGATCCTCGTGTAGTCGATAGGCATTAAACCGTATTAACCAACCTTCCTGATTGTCACAGGACATATACACCGAGAGGTATATTTCTCTCACTGTATATAAATACTGAGTGTTTACATTAATCCGTATTTAAAGTATTGAAATGTCCTTGTCCGGCTGCGATAGGGTTAACCCCATTAACCCAAAATCTATCTCATTCTCGACAAGAGCATACACAACCCAGCGGTGTGTGACCCTCGTGTGTACACACTCACAGGTTACTTGATGACCCACGAAATCTTTATAGTCTTCAAACCCCATTAACCAATCAATTGACTCACATAGGATATATACACCAAGAAATGTATTTCTCTCAG